ACTTCCAGTACTACTGAGTATAATATGACTTCCTATTTGAAGGAGGAAAACTGGCGAGGCAGAACACATTTTCGACAGACATAAAGCAGACGTGGAAGTCAAAATAAACGTTCCACGGCGAAGCCTGAGCCCCTGAGCTCTGCCTATGCACTGCACAAGTACGTATGTGTGTCCACATGTGGGGCAACGAAAAAGGGGAAGTGAAAGAGCAGATTACAGCTACTCTCATTTCCACGCAGGAGCATGACAAAAGTGTCAGGGAACAATTTGATCAAAATGGTTTTCTCAGTGGAGAACATGACATTCCTTTCCACAAATTGAAGGCAAATTTTGCCAACCAGGGCAAAAGGAGGACTGTGGATTGTCCTCTGGGCTGACGCGGTGTCTAAATACTCCGATCATCTTGAACACAATTGAAGCTTTACCGCAATTTTAATTAAATACGTTCACGGCAGCATCCACCCTCCAGCTAAGATTGGACAGCACATGTTTGTGCGCATGGTCATGGTGTGACAGTGAAGAATACCATAACCTCATGGTGGATAAAAAGCATCACTTCTCCAAATCCCTTAATCTGGCGGCTTGTTTTATACAAATGCTTCACGATTTCCATTTAATACACTTTAGCAAAAGGATACATCCGGTGCACGGAGCAAAACCTGTCATGAAAATGCACTGAAACACTTAGTGCTTCAATGGGCTTTTGCCATCAAAAGTGTTTGTGTGGGCTAAGTGGAATTTGTTGCCTCCAACCATGTAGTTAATAACCTGTGATATTTCACTAAAGGATTTAAAGCAGATTAAATGCAAATGTGCAGGAGGATGAAATTGTGTTTGCTGTACATTTACTTTGGATTTTGCATGGCACTTACTGTCAAGTGTGAGTGGTGGGAGGAGGCAAGCTTCACCCAACCCTCTGTGTAGCTTTTCAGGTTTGTTTGTAAAGTAACACTGCACCACGAAACAGCACCTTATGACTCATGGGAAATTAGAGTTAGGTAGTAGAAACTGAAATCAAAGCACATCAGCTTGCACCGATAATTTGCATAGTTTGATGCCTCAACATTTAAAGATGAAAACTATATGCATTCGTCAATGTGTTTTTCACATTTATTGTGCAAGCATGGCTTATTTGCTTGCCCGATCTCAACAGGAAACACTGGTCAATCACTTAAATAGGGTTAAAAGGAGCCATATTTATGAAGGTGACCAGTAGCGGTTTTTGATACGGGCGACACAGGCGGTTGCCCGGGGCGGCAAAAAATAAAAAATAAAAAAAATAGCTTGTTCTCATGGTGCCCTGACGTCAGCCAGCGCATTTTGGAGATGACATGGGCACCGATCGGTTTCCTATGTTTGCGAGGTGCGGGGATTCTCTGGCTGGCTGGAGAAGCATCTAATAACCAACTCGCAAAATAAAAGAAAATAAAAACAAACCAACAAACACAAAAACACCAGACATTATGATACAGACAAATTTGCACCGATGTTTTTTCGAAATTCTATATGCAAAAAGTGAGCGAGAGAGCCCTCGGTGCTCCTGCTCGCTGCTGAAGTCAAAGTAAACTTTATTGTCATCTCCGCTACATACAGTCCAGTATATAGAGAGACGAGACGACGAGGCTCCAGTTACAGCAGTGCAAGTAAACAAACAATAAATATAAGAAGAGTAAGAAAATAAATCTACACTTTAGGACTCGGGGTAAAGGGATCAATAACAATTTAAAATTTATAATTTACAGTTTGATAATTTAAAGTCTCACACATAACCTGTCGAAAAGGGGGGGGGGCGGCTGCTTCCAAATAGAGCACATTTCATTCATAATGTTGTAAATCTGAGCCCATTATGTATTCATGATTTGAATCCTGGGTTGTGCAAAATCCCAGAAATGCACCCTAGACAAAGTGAATCTGTGAACTAAAGTGTAGGTGTGTTAGGTTATGTTGTGGTGATCCTCGAGTTGGGGGATTTGTGTCCATACTGAAGTGCAAAATTAAAAGCAATGGAAGATGGACAAGAAAAGGTCAAAGCCATCAGGTGCTCAGTTTAGAAAAAAGAGAAAAGAAGAGGAGGAGAAACGAGCAAAAGATACCGAGGGGGGGGGACAGAGGGAGTGTTCGCCCAGGGCACCAAACAGGCAAGGACCGCCACTGAAGGTGACTACTTAGGGTCATGTGTGTTGTGCACGTTGTCTCTGAACAGCAGACTAATGTGATCAACCGATCATATTAGATGAGGAAAATGTTGCCTTGGTAACCATAAAAATGGACATGTGGCTAATGTCATGAAAAGGTCACTTCTAAAACAGACCATGATTTTTTTTCCAAGCCCCTAACTAAGTGCTTCTGTTGGCTAATTAAGCTGTAACCAATAACAATAACATCAATTTTTAAAAAACAACAACTTTGAATGACTTTTAATAACCACGTGTGATACACAGACTCACTGCTCACTGTTGTTCCTTCGATTACCTCACCCGCCATTTAAGGGCTTTTTGGTAGGAAAGCTTTTAACCATCTGTCCTTCAAAGGCGTAAGCATGCGATGTATACGACACATGGACACATCTATAATGGCACTATGTCATGCCTCTAGGTACTAATGCATTTATTGTCTAAGTATTATTATCATGTTTAATTTTTGTATATCAAGTAAAGACAAAATACACCATTTTATAGATTTAAAAAACAAAAGAATTAAAAAAAAATATCTCTCGATCAACTTAGCTGTCAACTGACAATTATAGATTTAAAGTGAACTGATGATTCTGTTGTTCTAACATCACTACCAGACATTTTCAGCCCCATCAGCAACACATAAAAATACTTATTTGTAATATAAATAAATAACCTACACAGCCTAGTGTGTAGCTTTTCTTTTAGAAGAAAAACAATCATCAGTGACGCACAAGAGGAGCGAGCAGTGGCGCAATGCATCCGCCTTTTGAAATTGGCGCTCTTTTTAAAAAACAATATAATAAAATTCAGGATGTAGAACACTGTTTACTGTTTGACATACTGTACAACCCTTCAAAAAAGTCTGTCCGTGGCCTCAGTAGTGACTGTTCATCCATGTGTATTAACTAGAGTCTAGAAATAGCCCGCGCAGTATTAATTCTGATGGTGAAAGAAGTCTATATTGAGGGGACCACATCCTCTCGGCATGTGGAGATGTTGTGAGGGGGTAGACGGAGGTTGGAAATGTCACTCCAGAGAACAAAGCACACTTATTCATCACTGAACTTTTGCCCAAGATATGTGTGCGCTCAAACACCCGCAAACAGTTAAGTCGCCTCGGTCTTTCCCATAAAATTTCACCGAGAATCACTTTGAGAATACTAATACCTGTGGATGTAATTAAAACGACTGAAAATAATAACAACAGCTAGAAAGGGAAGGAAACTTAAATCTTTTCCAGAAATGTGAGCAGACGTACACACCAAGGTCTGCAAGGGCACCAGCAGTCTTTACTAATTCCTAAAGCCCTCTGGCACTGGTACAGAGTGAAAGGGACGCATATGTAGCTTTACTGTCAAGAAAATCACTGGATCCTTACATTGTTTGGACTTTACATATAATCCTTTCCATTGATAAAATTATGTTGAGTGTGCCTGGCTGGAAATCCACAAGTACAGCGCTTTAGCACACATGCTTTTTCCCTTCTCTGGTTTTCCTTTAATTTGCAAATCTTGTAATCTAAGCCTAGAGCTGACTGAACCGACTTCTAAACCAGCACTGCTCTAGCAGCCAAGAGTCCAATCTGTTTTCCATTTAAGTGTCAGGACGGCATCCTTTTTGGTGGTTAACAAAAGCTGTTATTTCAAAATGATTATATGCTAAAAATTGTGCGAGGACCTTAGTAAGTTTATGAACAGGCCCGATGGAAAGTACAGCGCCGCACCCGGAAGCTTTTTTCCTTCTCGTCTTTGACCAAAGTGTTATTTACCGAGCACTTCTGCAGAGGGAAGGACCAGGCTGCGCCATTCAGCCAGAGGTCAGGGTTTCTGCTTTTCAACACAGTACATGTTTTCAGCATTAGTGTTGAACGACGCCTGGGTGATTTGCCAAACCGTCAAAACGCTGCCTGTCTCAGTGTCAGTGAGGACATAGGAAAAGCAGAAGCAATGGCAATGGCGTCAGAGAGACAGTGGCGGCAGTTCCTGGAAAACATCAAGAAGGTGGTCTCCATCAAGACCCAGCTGAAGACAGACTTCCTTATTTCATTTCCTGGGGAGGATATATTGAGTTAAATTTTGTGTTGCTCTGGAAGAGCAGCATAAGTAAGTGGAAGAGGGGGGGGAAGAAGGGAGGGCACGAACTGGGTATAGAGAAGGGAGTGCAACATGCCTCGGGGTCTGTCACTTTTGAAGTAAGTTTTCTTGCACTAAACAAAGACATGACATTCCCAGGCCTAACCCTAACAATCCCAGGCTTCTGCACATCTGCTCCATCACCCTTCTCCAGCCTGTGGGGAATTCAGGTACTGCTCGCATTCCAGCCACACTGCCACTAATAGTCACTAAGCCCACATGGGTGGCTCACCTCAAGTTGCATGTGAAGGGTTCGTAACAAAATGTTGGGTGTCCTTTGATGCCTCTTATTTTTAAAAATGACTTTCAGATGGAGCATTTGTTGTCCTTCATAACGTCACCGAAAGTAAAACACTATTGGCAGGTTTTAAAGAAAGGACGGCTAAATCCCACGAGACACAGGCTGCTTTCGTTTCTCACTTTCCAGTAAGAGCACTTTTAATTAGAAAGTAGATGCCTGTCTTTACTAAGCAAAGACAGAGCTTAACGGGCGTCTAGTCTTTAAGTTTAAGACGACATCATTTTTTGCCCCTCCACTAGTTAAGCTGTCAGCACAACATTATAGCAGAAAGATGTGAATCTATAATTCCTCACTTATAAACAGAGGGGAAGCAAAGTCACTATTCTGCATTGCAGTTTATGGGTGACCGACAGGAAGTGATGTCAGTCTTATAACGAAGCCTGAACTCACCCAGAGGACCCCGTGCTCTTGCAGACTCCAAGGAGGGGCCTCTTGTCAGCAAAACTGTCCAGCTTTACAGGACCTGAGGAGGAAGAGGAGTCAGAGGAAGAGCCAGATGAGAAACAGCAGAATCTGCACACAACAAAGAGAGACATTCTTTACAAACATGTGAGGGCTCGAGCACTCCCCACCCTCATACAGCAGGCAGGCTATTACCATGGCAGGAAACGTGCTGATTACATTACTATGGTTGCCCCATAATCCAATTATGGTTGCAAAATATTTTTTGATAAATGGAGATTTTTTTTCTCCCATCCAAAACATGGAATCACTTAATTTAAAGACTTTGTTTGCTAGTTCCTACTGATTTTCTACTGTAAATTTGCGCTAAAAGAATAAATGAAGCTTGATGTAAAAAAAGTTTTTAAAAAAAAAAAACCCCAAACATTTTTGTTCCTCCAAAAAAAGTTAACAAAACTCAAAAATGATGGAGAAATCTTATTGAAAATGCAAAGTCCAGTGGGCATGTGAAAAATGAAGAGAAATCCTGCTGCATTAAGTATTTCTGATCCCATATTTTCCCTAATTGTCTCATTTTTGAAGTTTGGCAAAGGATAAGGGGACCGAGTGGATGGGGGTGCTTAGACTGAAGAAGATGTTACCCTTTAGAGGACTGTAATTTGAGGGTTGACAGTAATCAGCCCAAGTTCCTGTGGTATGGCATGAGAGCCAATGTGCCTTCTGTACCAGCCTTTAACACTACCAACAGGATCCTTCTCTCCTTTCATGTTTCTGTCATCAGTCGAGATATTGAGCCGGAACATAAATATGCTCCTTGGAGACTTGGTGAATGGCACATTTAACCAAAAAAAAGAAAACATTCTGGGAAGATGCATAGAGCAACTTTGATTTGATTACTATTGCAATGAATAGTAGCAGAAACAAGTAAGTGTATGTTTAAATAATACTATGACATCGCCCGAAACATCAGGCTACATATTAAACTGCATGGCATTTCCTCTACCATGAAGACCAGAGAGCGTTCACAAAGTATCTCCTCAATGCTCATTTGTTTTCAGACAGAGAAGTCATTGCTTCATTTTCCAAAACAACAAAAGATCACAGCTTGTAAACGAGATGTGGATAAACGCGTTTACTTCCTTTGGAAAACCAGCTTTTCCTTCTCTATTCCAGGAAGGAGGAACCTTGCCTTATTATAATCAACACCTATTTTCAGGGCTTTACGAGTCCACCCACCCACAGCCTCATATCCCAGACAATTGGCCTTTTAATGGCTCGCCACAGTGCAACACTGTTTGCACCCTAACAGATTACAATCAGTGTCCTTCCCTGCAGTGGTACAATTCATATTTATTTTCTGCTGAGAGAATTACTCCCCTCATGTGTCGGGGCTATCTGCTGCTTCTTATTACTGTGGTTTGCTTTTATCCACTTCCAGCACTCCTCAAAAGCTGCCATTGTGTGTTGTTGAAATCTGCCAAAAGACTGCAACATAGACGGCGAACACAAAGACGATTTTCTCACCGGAAAAAAAAAAGCCACAAACCATCTTTCACAGAACCGATCGACACCTGCAGGGATTAAATTTAAACGTCACGCCTGTAAAGAGTCTCATCAGTGGAACAAGTCGACCATTTGCGCCATGACTTTGAGAATATGTCATGGTGCAACCTTCCAGTGGAACCAGTGCCACATTTGTTTGTCATTACTGGGACTATTTCACTTACATTACAAATGAAATGCTTTAACGTTGTTTGTAATTCAGTTCATATAAAACAGCATTAGGTAAGCAGATCAAACGTGCATTCACAGAACATCACGGGAAATGTTTCCTTCCAAAAAGAAATGAATCTGAAAGTACTGTTAAATATACTGATTCACAAAGATTCTCATTTTCCTCCTGCATTGTAATTTTCATTTGGACCACGCTACATACTCATAAAAGCAAATTGTGAGTAATGTAAATGACAAAATGCTGCTTTTGAAAGCCTCTATTACACTTTCCAAATCTGCGAGTCAACTTTAGGGTGAGTGATGGAAATCTCCCTATCAGATAGTAAGAGAGGGGTCTATGCAGGTGCCAGTCAGTCTTTTTGTCCTTGAGGAATTTACACTACAACGCACTAATTATGCATGTGCATGCATCCAGGTGGTGGATATGGAAGCATTTCACACGTCACTTGGTGAAGCTAGTGTTAGCCTCAGATGCCAGACTGCAGTTTCTATGTGGTTTCCTTGCTGTATTTAAAGTTCATCTCAGGTTGAAGCAGCCACTGTGGTCTGTGTGATCTCAGCTTTTACATTAAGCACTATGAGCTTTCTATTGTTGCCCTGCAACAAACTGGCAACCTGTTCAGGGCGCACCATGCCTGTGGCCCCATGTCAGGCTCCAGTTCAAGACCCTGGATTGGATTAGTGGACGAAAATGTTTTTCTTTCTACTTCCTTTTTTTTTTTTTAATAATATTCACTCATTTTTCTGAAGGTATCCAAAAATCATCATTAATAATGAACAATGATTCTTTTGCAATGTTTGCTAAAAGAAGATTTTCTGTGGCATCATTTTGTAGCAATCATCCTTGTCAGATTATAATACTGACGCAAATACAAAACTCAAATTTGATCAAAATGCACTTGGGATACCCTGTTTGGCTAAACTCTTCATGACAAAAGGACACCAATGCCTGCATTACTAGTAATATGGACTACTGACTGAGAGCGGGCTAACAGTAATCGTAGATTTACGACAACATTAGGATGAGGAACCAAGGAGCACTCTTTAATTTTAATGATATAGCACCACTTAAAATGCCCACAACCCAAAACTGCATTACAATAGGCCATCCGAAATTTAATTTTAAGTGTTGACCTTGGATGCTGAAATCAAGTTAACCAGAGTTTCTTTTCCAGGACAGACATTTCCGAATTATGCTGAAAAGACACTTCAGAAGACTTGCAAAGGAAAAATGTTTAAATGAACTTCCTCCACATCCCTGTGTGGTTTCAGAAGAGACATTTACTGTTAAAATAAAATCTCAGACAGCATCTGAAGGTGGCTCAACACGAGCTGAGATTTTATCCAGTACAAGGTGTAAAAGTTTGTGTTTCACAGTTGAATGCAGCTTCTTCTGAAACAGATATGTAGATGTGGAACTTTAACACCACTGATACCATAAAAAAAGCTACATAATGATCAGCAGCATTAAAATCACTGATGGATGGAAAAAAAATCTCATAATTTCAATCATGCAGTGTGTTTATGAAACCTAAGGTCCTGATATCAATGCAGATGTTACTTTTGATGCGTAATACACAGCTTAACACTGTTGTAGCCTTTGAAAGCAAAGACACACCATGACAGTAGCAGCCTCCTCTACCAGCCAATGTGGGCTGCACACTGCAAAACACCATAAATAGCCTGTGCACAGAATACAAATCCCACAGCACATTACCCAAAAGATCCTGCCAACAAGCTAAAACCTTATAAAAATAACTAAAGGAACCCATCTCTACCCTTATAGCAGAGATGTGAAAAATACTGACACCTACTGTGTTTGTTTTTCTGTGTTTCCTCAGCAGAAATGTTTCTCAGCAGCACCGATAAAAGAACTGACAACAAATGTTGTCAACTTCACCCAGCAATGGTTTTAATGCTGTATAATCATGTCATTACTACTGTATAATTATTCAAGCAAGAATATGCAATATGTGCTTAACTGCAGGTAGGTGCATATCATATTCAAGTAAAGGTACTGAAAATACTCACTGTTATGAGGAGCTGGCAGAATGCGAGCAGCTCGCACTGGACCGTGTCGCACTGAGAAAAGCTCTTGAGCTTCTCCTGCCAGCTGAAAAAAAAAACATATATTAGACTTGAAAGTAACAGAAGTTCACAAATCAGCACAATAAAAGAGGTATTTTTACTCAGTAGTACAGACCAGGATTAAAAAATCCAAAACAAAACGTATTTAGGTATTAGGCCGTTCGGAGATCTTTATGTCCGGCCACGTAGGGAACTGTTTCAAAACACACGTTTCTTTTAAAGCGTACAATTTCTTGTCATTTTTTTTTTTAAACCAATGATCTGATCAGTTCACACTAAGAAAAACAACACGTTTTCTCGCCGGGTAAAACTACTTTTCATAGAAAATGGCAGGGTGAGGTAGGGAGGGAGGATGGGGAACATCCACATGGTGGTCTGGTTGTTAAGCTCCAGCCAAACCACGAAGTAAAATCCACCAAGCACAAAATAAAAGTCCCAGTGGCATCACAACACAAATGAGCTGACTCCACTTACAGAGCCAACAAGGAGAGGTTGGGGATGTGGGTTAATGCCAAGTGGGCAGCAGCCCATAATGCCTCTGTAGCAGAATACGTAAGAAACAGCCAGTGCGTCTTAACATAATTCAGTATTATCTTTGATTTCTGATTTACTGTATATAATAGAATGATGGGAGACCCGTAGCTGAATCATTAACCTTTATTATTTCCACGGTGTCTGTCATCTTTAGCAGTTTTTGGATTTATGCTGTAAATTATGTTTCCATCATTTCATTTTTCATCCACTACTTCAGGTACTGGCTTTCTTAATTAACCACCCCATGACTACTTTGTTGCCAAGATTTTACACACTATATTTAAAAAAATTAAATAAAAATTTAAAAAATAAATAAATCTGAATTTTCAGCTACTATATCATCTTTGGAGGGAACTGTGCATTTTGCATTAGGGGCAA